GGCTACGGGCCTGAGGGGGGGGGTCCAAAAATCGTTCACTAGGACAGACCCTTGATCGCTTTTATATTAATAGAACGATCGTTTTTGAAAACGACCTTTTTGTTTTTTCTTTTTTCTACATCGTTTTTTTTAAACGTGAAAACGATCAATCCCTACCAACAGTGAGTAAATTATTTTTCTTAAATACAATGTCTATATATATCATATACATTTGTATCTAGGGCACTCACGTGGATTTAACGGTTCTGACAATATTCCAGAAAACTGTAACTTTCGATCACAATATGTCCTAAGAAACATCATTTTTTAGCCTTTTTTCTTAAGTACTTTTTGTCGGCATATACATCTTGAATAAAAAGTATAAAACAAACAAATCCGTAAGTTAAACAAAGTTTAATTATAGACCAAAACGCATATAATTTCAAATAGAAGAAACCGAATGCCTCTAACTCTGGTTAGTCCGGTGTGCACTATCATTTTATTGCATCTTAAGCAAGTTTTATAGAAATAATTTGTTCTGGAGCAGTGCAGTGGTGTATCTCATTATTTTTTGTTTGCCCATATTTTAACCCTAAGCTGAAATGGAGGATGGGGATGGATGATTGGGATGGAGGGGCTGGGGGGATGGGGGGTTGATGTAGAGTTTTCCACCAAACCTGATCAATTTTTGATTGCTAAAAATTTTGCCCTATTTTTACATTTATAAAAAAGATTTAGGGGCTCCAGCAGCCCCCCAAATCCTTTATTTAGTCAGAGTAGCGTGTAGAAGAATCTTATTTTAAAAGTTTTCAATGAAATAGCGGGGTTTCGGTCGAATTCCTAACTAAAACATAACATTTAAACAACTTAGAGACTTTTCTCAAAAAAAAATTCTTAAGCGGCCACGCAGTTTTCTAATTGTAGATATCATACTGTTTATGCCTCTTTTAACTGTTTACCAATTAACAGAGGCCTATTATAAACTGTTATTGGTAGGGCTGGGCGCGTTCCTGGTGGAACGATCGTTCTTTCCGGAGAACGAACGGAACAATCAAGAACGATCCCATCGTTCCGAAAAAAAACGAACGCTCAGAACGCGTTCTTAAAAAATTTGGAACGATTAGTAAAAGAACGGAACGGAACGGAACGGGAATTGCTTGAAAAGAACGGTTAAAATCGTTAACGCGTTCTTATTATCAAGAACTTGTTCTAAGTTGGGAACGCATTTTAAATCAGGAATGTGTTCTAAATCATCTAGAAATAGTNGAGAAGGGAGGGGGGGGGAGAATTTTGGTTGAAAAAATTGTTTTCTATAATTTATTTCCATTTCTTTTTGATATTATTGAAATATTGATTATGAATTAAATATTTTTCAAAAATCTACAAATTGTACACCCCCTTTTTTAAGGTAACCCGGTTTTAGTGATCGTTCTATACTAAAAACGGAACGGGGGGATGGAAACGTTCTTTGACTAAGAACAGAATGAGAGGGATGGAACCGTTCTTTAAATAAGAACACCAAGAACTGAACGGAACAGGAAGATCGTTCTTCTACTCAGAACGGAACCAAACGGGACGGAACGGAACGTAACGGAACGATACAACAAAAAAGGAACGAGAACGGAACGATTTATCTGAAGGCCCTCGTTCTAGAACGGAACGGAACGATTTCAAAAAAGTTGGAACGTGCCCAGCCCTAGTTATTGTATCATCAAATAGACTTTCAATTTAATTAGGTGGCAACAGAGAAATGGACCAATTATACACGACTGTAGCAAATATCATAGCAATCCCCATATTTGTTAACCTGAACATATACCTAGATATATTACGTTGTACATTGTCTGTAAATCTAAATACACTTATCATTAACTCTGCAAAACTTGTAATTCAATTAATCTAGCCTAGCTAGGTCTGTAAATACGTCAAAACATGTATTGTGATTAACTTATAACTTTGTCAGTGATTAGTTCAACTATGCATATATATATCTGGACTAATCTTGTAAATATGTACATTAAACTTAACCTGTAACATAGATATCTAAATACACGTCAGTTGGAATAGACTCTGCTTTGGTTATGGGCAAGAGAGTAATTTGTTCCTTGTTTTACAAACGAGTTGATGAGATTGTGTCTAGATTTATAATGATAACTGAAGAGATTGTGCCCATGTTTGGCATTGATAGTTTACTCACTTGTGTCTGTGTTGACATTGATAGCTGAAGAGATCATGCCCAGTGGTTTGGCATTGATAGTTTACTGGCTTGTGCCTGCCTTGACATTGATAGCTGACGTGATCATGCACAGTGGTTTGGCATTGATAGATTACTTGCTTGTGTCCGTGTTGACATTGATAGCTGAAGAGATCCGGCCCAGTGGTTTGGCATTGATTGTTTACTAGCTTGTATCCGTGTTGACATTGATAGCTGAAGAGATCATGCCCAGTGGTTTGGCATTGATAGTTTACGGACTTGTGTCCGTGCTGACATTGATAGTTGAAGAGATCTGGCCCATTGTGTCCGTGTCGAGATTGAAAGCTGACAAGTTGTACCTGGATTGTATGGGTCTGAGGAAAGCAGTTTTAGGAGTAGGGTATTTACTACTTTATTCTAAAATTATCAGTATTATTGACATTTTTGTCAGACACAAAAACTGAATTGAGTGCAAGCTGTACTGAATGTACAAATTCTACATTGCCATCTTTTGTACTAAAGTCTATTTGGGTGTCATTATATGTGTTTATATCTTTAATATCAAAACTTTGTTCAGAGGTTCAAGATTTGGACCTGAGTCTGATTTACTGGATGGGTATCAGGGTTCAATATCTGGATATGGATCAGGACTAGGATCTGATCTAGGCTCGGATTTAAGCTCGGAGCGAGATAAAAACTGGTTTCAACGACAACGTTTTCAGAACGCAGAACATGGTGCATCCTCTATCCTCTCTCAGGTGACATTTAACTTAAATAAAGTCAGATTTTGTTTGTATTGTGAATCTTGGGATGAACCATTTACGGTTTAATTTTTTTTGGGTTACATTTTATAAATAATGACTTACTTACCTTTTTACCAATGTGAATTTGCTTCTTGAATTGTTGTTGTCAAAATTAAAAGTTTTTTTAAAATTATAAAAAAAAACAATATATTCTACAATATATTCTACAATTTTGATCCAGCATTCCTCCCTTCAAATATACAGTCACTTGAAAACATTATAGTTCAAATTTAGATTTAAAATTAAAAATTAAAAATTAAAATTTGAATTAAGAATTGAAAAACAGTCTTTACCCTAATTTGCTGAATTGTGAGTGGATAAGGAAGCTTAATCGGATTTCTCAATTCAAGGATTCTCGCATTTTTCAAGGATTAAATTCTAACAATGTATCTACCTCCAAAATTCTTTTCCTCAATCTTATAAAAATGTATTTTTTTTTACATTAAAGTGACTTATTTTGTTATTTAAAAATGACCATTTATTTTCAAGTTTAATTTAAGGGAGCCAGACCGATTGAAAACAGTAGCATTTAAACCTTTATCTGATCAATAAGTTTACGGCGTTTTTCTTGATTGAAAAGGGTCAAATTTTAGCAATTTTCTTTATTTTTTTTCTGCAGCTAAATCCGCCAGTTATTTTCTAAGAAAACCCACCACATAAAAAATTATGTTTAAGGCTGGGGGGTTTGAATCTATGTGTAGCCTGGGGCGGCGTTTGGCGCCCCCCCCCCCCCCTAGAAAAAAAACCTGAGAGAATAGGTATATGATTGAAATGCATAATCACAGCCCAATTTTTCATGGCCAGCTCATAGAAATTAGACCGATAACTTTGATAGTTTGGGTTCTAGGGAGAGTTGAAAAAAACCTAAAAAAGCGTCAAATAAGTGAAAAAATATTTCTTTTTATCAAAGTGTGATGCATGCTTCTACATGCATTTTTCGATGGCTTTTTAAAAATATAGTTTTTAGATCTGTAGCTTTGGTCACAAAAAAGATATGGGCTATTTTAGATTTTTTTTTACAGACCAGAATTTTTTTCTGCCCTGTACCCTACCCTATAGATTAAAAAAAAATTTACCAAAAAATCCTTTAAATTACTATTCATTAAAAGTAAAAAAATTTCATGGTGATAGTGTCAAAAATAAGAGTGCTAGGACAAAAAAGGAGGGGCGCCTAACGCAATTAGAGAGAGGGGAAGACTTTTAGATACAAAAATTTAATTAGTTTATTTCAAATTACGAACAATTTGATCTAAATTCAAAACAGAATGCGAGATATATTAAAAAGCTATGAGATATCAATACCATTCTGTTTTCAAACCAAATGTTGGTAATTTTATAATGATTTTTGTTATTCGACATTTTGAACAAAATTTGTTATAAAAAGAATATAAATTTAATGAATTTGAGCTACATCGTTAAACTACCTACTGCCGGTTCAAATTTAAACCACCTATTCAAAGTTAAACATTCAAGAAAGATTAAAATCGGTCAAACACATTTGAACTTGCGGTAGCCAGTTCAACGACCTCTTATATTCATTAAGTTCGGTCCCTGTTTAGTCTGATTATGACGGGCATGTAAGAATTGGATCTAAAGCTGGTTCAACTACTTGGACTCAACCCCCAGCCAGTCACAAGGTGCAGTTTTTTAAAATTTACTTTATGTAAACAACTTCTTCTTCCTTCAATTCGTATTAGTTTTAAACTGATATTGAAATTAATATTATAAATTTGAAAAAGAAAAAAAATATAATTTGAAAAAAACTGATACAATTACAAAATTATGAATTATGCAGACAATTTGAAAGAAAAAAATCAAAAAAATTTAAATATAAGGATAGTTTTGCCCAGATAAAGAGGAAGTGAATATCATTTTTATCTTTTTTAAAAATCCTTTCAGGTAACATTATTTCGCTTCAGAAGTTAAAAATGTATTATACTTTGCTATATAGTTAGGTTATCAATCTGAGATACGAGATCTATTCCGATCCTATCATGATCTAGTAGGAGATATAATGAAATATATACTTTATAGTTAGCTTATCAATCTGAGATACGAGATCTCATCCGATCCTACCATGATCTAGTATGAGATATAATGAAATATATATTATAGTTAGCTTATCAATCTGAGATACGAGATCTTATCCAATCCTACCATGATCTAGTAGGAGATATAATGAAATATATTTTAGTTAGCTAATCAATCTGAGATACGAGATCTTATTCGATCCTAGCATGATCTAGTAGGAGATTAATGAAATATATTTTAGTTAGCTTATCAATCTGAGATACGAGATCTCATCCGATCCTACCATGATCTAGTAGGAGATTAATGAAATATATTTTAGTTAGCTTATCAATCTGAGATACGAGATCTCATCCGATCCTACCATGATCTAGTAGGAGATTAATGAAATATATACTTTAGTTAGCTTATCAATCTGAGATACGAGATCTAATCCGATCCTAGCATGATCTAGTAGGAGATTAATGAAATATATATTTTAGTTTGCTTATCAATCTGAGATACGAGATCTCATCCGATCCTACCATGATCTAGTAGGAGATATAATGAAATATATATTTTAGTTTGCTTATCAATCTGAGATACGAGATCTAATTCGATCCTACAATGATCTAGTAGGAGATATAATGAAATATATACTTTATAGTTAGCTTATCAATCTGAGATACGAGATCTCATCCGATCCTACCATAATCTAGTATGAGATATAATGAAATATATACTTTAGTTAGCTTATCAATCTGAGATACAAGATCTTATCCGATCCTAGCATGATCTAGTAGGAGATATAATGAAATATATTTTAGTTAGCTAATCAATCTGAGATACGAGATCTCATCCGATCCTACCATGATCTAGTAGGAGATATAATGAAATATATACTTCAGTTAGCTTATCAATCTGAGATACGAGATCTTATTCGATCCTAGCATGATCTAGTAGGAGATATAATGAAATATATACTTTAGTTAGCTTATCAATCTGAGATACGAGATATCATCCGATCCTACCATGATCTAGTAGGATATTAATGAAATATATATTTCAGTTAGCTTATCAATCTGAGATACGAGATCTTATCCGGTCCTACCATGATCTTGCAGAAAATGCTGATTCAGATTCTTCAGTCCAGGTATTAAAGGGACCGTTCACTTATTTGAGTAATTTCAGGGTAAACTAAACAGCCTATTCGCTGTTGATTGGTAATAATCTTACTTTTCAAAGACAACCGTGGCCGGAGAAAAAGCCGATTTTTCGTTCAGAATTCGAGCGCAAAGGGACGGTCCCTCTCTATAGACACTAATTGATGTTTTTTTCAGTAACAGCTGCCCAATAACATTTAAATTTATTGTATTTTAATGTCATTATGTGTTCGTTAATTGTAAATGTCATTATTTTGTAATTTTTTTGTTTTTTAACTTTCTATTTCTAAAATAACACTACTTTATTGCATTCAAAATTGGTATTACCTGTGTAAAAAGCTGGATTGAACGCGGCATGACAAATAAAAAGTTGTGCACATACGGGAACAAAATCTACAAAATCTGCGAACCAAAAAACGAGAAATGATTAATTGATTGTAGTAGAGACGTCGTCTTTGAATACACATTTTACATGTTTTAATACGAAAAACGTAAATTTCTTTCTAATTGAAATATCAAAAGTTTTCATATTTTTGTACGTAATAACGAACACATAATGACATCAAAATATAATAAATTTAAATGCTATTGGGCTGCTGTTACTGAAAAAAAACATCAAAAAGTGTCTAATAGAGAGGGACCGTCCCTTTTTGCTCAAATTCTGAACGAAAAATCGGCTTTTTCTCTGGCCCCAGTTGTCTTTGAAAAGTAAGACTATTACCAATCAAAAGCGAATAGGCTGTTTAGTTTACCCTGAAATTACCCAAATAAGTGAACGGTCCCTTTAACTAGAACCATTGTGAAGGGATAAAATCAGATGTTTATTATATATCAGCTTTTTTTTATAAAATCGGCTGTTTATCAGACAATGCTGCTTATGATAAAATAAGTTGTTAATGATAAAATAAACAATTTTGATTAAATCAGATGATTATTCCCAAATGATTCTAGTTAGTGTTAATTATAAAAATCAGCTTATTATGATCAAATAACCTGATTATGATAAATCAGATTATTTCACAAAAACAGCGGATTATCATAAAATCAGCTGATTATGATAAAAATAGCTAATTATGAAAAAAAAATCTGCTTAATGTGAAGAAAATCATCTAACTAAAAACGTCTAACCGTAACGAAGCTGTTCATGAAAGAATCACCAGATTAGGATTAAAATCAGCTAATTTAGTTTAGGATTTGAATACGGAGTGGTTTAACCTCTGAAATCCTAACCAAAAGTTTGAGCTTTAGATCAGAGGCCGAATTTGAAGAATTTGAGCGCGGCTAAAATTTGAGTGGTTGGTTCCACTTAAAATTGTACTCAATGTTTCAAGATTTAAGCCGGCGCTCAGTTGAAACCGTTTTTTGGCGGATTTAAGACGCGGCTCAAATTCATTAAATTCAGACTCTGTTCCAGCATATTTACTCTTATTTTTCTAGGAGGAGGATGACGATGTTTTGATGGCAGATTACAGTACAGAATATGAATACCAGGGAGTTGGAGGAAGAAAAAATGTCACTTTTACTCAAGGCACCGTTAACAAAAATATTTTTTGCTAAAATGTTATTTCTAAAGGAACTGTAGACGTAATTTCAAGTGACCCTTTTATTTGTAGAGATACATCATGATCAATTAATTTACACATGGCTCCCTTTACAGAAACCTTTGACTGAGCAAACTATTATTAAGTTATGTCATTTTTCTATCTAAAAATGTATTCTCTGTATTAGGAAGGAAACTTAGAGAATGTATTTTCAAGGATCAAAATCGAAAAACAAAGATATTATCCGCGTTATATATCTGATTCTGATTATTTAGGGTCACATGAAATTACGTTTAAATGCATTTAATTAGGAGAATCCGCTTATTTGAAAATATAAACAACTTTTGGAATGAGTGAAAACGAAAACAAACAAACCACTCCTAACTAGACGTTATACAGAGTTACCCACACAGGAAGAAACTTTGAATACAATCTGAAACGCTGTTTATTTAAAGATCTGATGACTGAATTCGGTCTACTGCCAAAAATACTTTTATGAATATTTTGAAAATTATAAACCAAGTTTAGAGTTGCAGCGGAGAAACTAGAATATAAGAAAAAAATATATCAATTCCTTTGTTGCTAGTTTTGTACATAAATTTCAAAATTTACAAGAAATTTTGGAAAAAATATTGATAATTAATTGTATCAAAGACATAATTTAGTGGACAAATTATTTACATTGTGTTCTCATATTAAAAAAATAGTTATTTTATCTATAGGTGAAAAATTCTTTTAAAGGGTCTGTAAGCGTATTTTCAAATGAACTTTCATGCAAATTTGTCCAATTTACAACAGTAACCCAAATAAACCTTTGGAAGATCATCGAGTAAAGAGAACTTGTGGTGATTATCTCTAAAATTGTGTTTGAATTGTCTAACAATTGGAGTGTACGCTAGTGTACAGTGTAAACTGCAGCTGATTTTACGTTTAATCCTCGAAAATATCAAATATTCTATATGTCCAACACAGATTTAAAAATTTGAATGCAAATATTTACTTTCTATACAGATTTCTTTAAAAAAATATGAATATTTCTAAAATATAAAATAGCTTGAAAGCGACGTTTTAAAAATTCAAGCGTTCCTCTACATCAATAAGGATAACTCTTTCATCCTTGATCAGTTCAAGGTTTAAATGAATTTGAGCCGCGTCTCAAAACCACCAGAAACCGGTTTCAATTGAGCGCCGGCTCAAATCTTGAAACATATATTAAAGCCGCGTCTCAAATTTAAGCCATGGCTCAAATTCTTTAAATTCGGGCTCATTTTACTTAAAATTTGACTTTATAATGAGTAAAAATCTTGTATAAGTTTATGACAATGTTTCCTTGTTTGTTGGAAAGGTATTGAATGTGTAATTACATGAATGGTTGTATTAATGTTCTATAACGATCTGTAATAGTCCTAGCAAATGGGATTGCACAGAATTATATTTATGTTGGGTTAACCCGTTGAATAATGTGAATACAGAATAGGCCTAATTTTTTATTCTTAAAGAGAAAAAAAAAATTAAAAAGTTTAAAACTAAGAGAAAAACGTAAAAAACTGTTGACGCAATTTAAAGCGAAAAAAAGGGAATGAATTAAATGAAGGATTGCGCAATTGGAATAACGTTAATGATCTCTGAAAACAAGAATTTTTTTATCTGGAATTTTGGAAATGTTGGTCATTTTGTAAATTTCGGTGAAACTGTTTGTTTACCAAACTTTTTTATTTGTCAGATGTATGATGATGTCATTAGAATATTATTTCTTAATTCGAAGCTAACAGCGATTCAATCGACTCCAAAGGAATTGAGTCTTTGTCCCAAACTCAGATTTTCTTATACCTATATCTTTGCAACACAATGTCGTAGACCTTAGATATTTCAAACTATGAATTCTGTTAGATCAAATACCCAAAGTATGAAATATCAAGGGTGTCCGCCACCAGGTTACCAAGACATAGGGATTAGAAAATTTTGGCAAAAACTCATTTCCTTCTTTTTGTTTATTGTCTTGTTTTATAAACTAAGGCACTCAGTGTGGAGAAATGTTACAAATGATAAATTGTTAATGGGTTCCTCGCGTTAGATTTCACAAATGCCACCACCAGCAACTCTAATAATAAAGCATTCAGGGAAAAATATACTTTTATACTTTTTTATTTCAGGAATCAGATTTAATTAATAATTTTAGAAGTATTTTACCAGTAAGTTTGTTTAGTGCGCCATTTTATTTAAAAAAAGTGCACTTTTCCTTTGAACTTTCTGCATTAAAGTTTTTTTTTAATCTAATTTGATCGTTTTATCAACGATGAAAACGTTCGTTTTTCGAACTCAAAGGAAAGCGCTCTACCGATCTTTAAAAGTATATGGAAAAAATATTAACACTCGCTTCGCTACAGATTTCCAACCTTTTTACATAAACAATTTTTTTTCAAATACGTATTTGTCGTTTTTAAAAACTGTAAACTAAAGCTAAGTCAGGTTTCACTATTAGTTTTTCTAGAAAAGAAGGTTTGTCAGTAGTTTTTTAAAACTCCAAAAGGAAAAAAATGATCAGTTAAAATTTAACGATACCCATCTTTCATTGAATGTACGTAGAAATTTATGCAAAGGAATTGATTCTTTGCCACAAACTCTGATTTTCTAATCTTTTTATCTTTTCAAACCATGAACTTTGTTGAATAAAATAGTCTTAGTTTGAGATTTCAAAGGTTTACACCATTAGGTTGCAAAGATAAAGGGATTATAACATTTGAGTTTGTGACAAAGAATCAATTCCATAAACCTCACATTCACCTTCAAATGATGCAATTTTCAACTTTTCTACTAAATTTTTTAATCAAATTCAATACGAATATACGCACCATGAGCAGCAAATAACTATATTTTCAAATTCAGATCGGCTGCAAGAAGAAATGCTTCGTTCAAAACGGCAGTTAAATCCAACAATATTGATAAATCTAACAATTATCATCTGTCGAACAACATTGTTAAAGAAATAAGGTTTGTTTACTTTTTTAATCTAAAAAGGATTGTTGAATATTGACATATTTAAAAATAACTTACCGAAAGTAATATTTCTTTATTTCTCCAACCTGAATGTATCAACTATTCTTGAAATTTAAAATTTTAACGAAGCAGAATTCTTAGTTTGAATTTCAAAGGTTTTCGCCTTCAGGTTGAAAAGATATTTGAAGATAGGAAGAGGCAAGTGTTCATTCCTTTTATAATTGCTGTAATAATTTGCTTAGAATCTAACTAAGGGAATAAAATATGTTTGATGTGAAAGAAAAAAAGATTTATCACATTTTGGTTTACTGGTGCAGGATATTAGAATGAAGAAAATACAACATATTTTCAGTAGAAGGGAGGGAAAGGGGAAGGAAGATATGAAAATCTACAAATATACAGTAGAGCAGAGGGAGGGGGGGGGGGGGGATATGAAAATCTACAAATATACAGGAGGGTAGAGGGAAGGGGGGGGATATGAAAATCTACAAATATACAGGAGGGTAGAGGGAAGGGGGGGGATATGAAAATCTACAAATATACAGTAGAATAGAGGGGGGGAGGGGGGAAATATGAAAATCTACGAAATCTATGTGCACTGAGTAGTGTGATGCACAGAACTGGAAAATTTTCATAATCCTGATTGTTTGATCTCGATATCCACTGCAGGAACTGCTAGTTTGAGGATAAATAATTAATCTCTTCATTTTAACTTTCTTTCAAGGATACGATTACAGCTTGCGGAATTATGAATAAATAAATCTGCAGATTAACACTGAATATAGAGATTAATCATTGATCTTATATATCCACAATACAAGAGTTCCCAGCTTTGATCTTGATCTCGATATCTACGATGGGCACTTTAAATTTAAGGTTTATTTCTTGCAAAATAGGACGCACTCTAGGGATGAAACCCTATTGAGAACGGAAAAGTAACGAGGACGCATCTGTAGCCTTGAAGGTTTAGGTTTTTGTAAAAAATGTTAATAAAAGCTGGTCCAGGATTTTATGTTATGTTAAACAAACTTACAAAAACAAAACAAAGAATAAAAATGAGTTAATGAATTAAATGATAATCTATTTTTTAAATAATATTTTGTGTTTATTTTAGTCGGAGTATGGAGTCGATCCATGACGGGTTCCGAAGTTTATCTCGAGTAAATTCTATCAGCTCATCACAGGAAAATATCTTAATTGTTTTAACTTCGCATCCAGGGCGCTTCGTACCGTCTTTCTTGTATTTTAACATTTTCATTGGAAACAGAGCTAATAAGCTCTGAGCCCGCGATTTAAAAGCTTCGGCCCAGGTCGTAATTCCTTAAACCCCGCTTTAAGATCCTATCATAGACTCAACTCATGACGACAGCTTGTGTCATGTTTTTGACAGCTGCAAGATCTAAGGCTTGACTTAGGAGGTAGGCCCAATGAAAATAAAACCTTGATTGGTTTTAGTGGAGAATAAGGCTTAATGTTGAGTCTTGTTCTCATAAAAAGCCGGAATATACCAATTTCTACAATGAAAACCCGCCAAATAGAAAATAAAACTGGTTTTTTGAACTCAACTTTGTGGAAAATAAGATGCAGTTAGATTCCGAAAGCTCAAGCCGTAAATAAGGCCCAACGAAAGCTTAGACCTGTATCGTATTTTTTTTTGTATTCTTTAAATCGCCGGTTCTGGTTTTCTTTCCATACTTCTTTGCAAATGATGTCGTATTTAAACCTTTTATATATTTCCCTTTTTGTTAGATCAAATAGTCTAAGTTGGAAACAACCAGGGTTGAAATATATTAGGATTAAAGGATTCAAGTTGTGGCAAGAATATATTTCCTAAGATTATATAAGGTCATATAAAAAATGGGCCTGATTGCAGTTATGACAAACAACTTTGTGGGAACTTTCAATGATATATGAATCTTTTTTTGTAAATGTTTAAAATCTTTAATTTTAGAATTTTATATTTGACATGGTTCCAGTTTCTTCTCTTTGTAAATTTAAATATTTGATTTACTGCGACACATTTATAATTCTAAATTTTGCTGCCATATTGGTCAGAAGAAACCCCTAATATTTAACAAAATTATTAATTTAGGATATAAGTGTTAGGAGGGCGGGGGGAGGGGGGAGGGGCATACTTTAAAAAATGAGTCAATTTCTGACCAATATAGTTTCTTAAAATCAAGTCTTTGTCACAAACTCTGATTTTATAATCTCTTTATCTTTTCAACCCAATGTCGCAGAACGTATATATTTCAAGCTGTAAGCTCTGTCAGATCAATAATCTAAGTTTTAAATATCAAATTTGTACACCATCAGGTTACAAAGATATTAGGGATTGAATCTGTGGCTCAAGTTCTTTACATTTTTTATTGACACAATAAGATGTTTTTTTTTTCATTAGAGAAGTTTAAGAAGTGAAACAGGTTCTATTCGTAGTTACAGGTTAGTGCACCCTATTTGGTCAAATCCATGTTTAATGATTTAATGGTTAATTTAGATTCACAATTTTAGTGAAGGTCTGGTTTTGATCAAGGTACAACTCAATCCCTCTCGTTGGTTTATGAGGCATACGAGCTAATCAGTTCAGCAAAACTTCAATATTAATGTCAACACGAACACGACCTCATAAAATATCAATGTCAACACGAACACAACCTTATAAAGTATCAATGTCAACACGAACAATCTCATAAACTATCAATGTCAAACGCAGAACGATCTCTTAAACTATCAATGTCAAACACGGACACAATCTTAAATTGTTTCTCGAAACTCAACGGAATAGCTGGAAAAAACGACAATTTGGTACAGCCGACGGAGATAGGTAACACAGAAGCAGACAGACAAAAAAGATAATATGTATAACATATCCATAGATTAATTTAAAGATGTCATCAGTAAGGCTGAGACGCACCTCCATGGCACCTTTTTAGCGTTTTTTTTTCAAAAGATATTTAGCATTACCTATTTTATTAATAAAGTAAACCAAAAATAACGTGCCAAAACCTTGTGTTCATACGAAAGTCATGCAAAAATTATGACTTAAATTCTATATTTATGCGCAAATTCGTGAAAAAAAAATATTTGATTCTAATGAATACACAATTTCGCCCTAAACTGTTTTTTTATTGAAACAAAATTGATGCGAAATTTCGTGTGAAAAAAGTCATTTCGAAGAAAAGCACTAAGCTATTGTGCAACTAAAGTTCTGAACTCTAGTTCAACTTTCAAAATTTTAATCAGTGTTTCGAGATTTAAACCAGTGCGACGCGGTTCAAATTCATTAAATTTGGCCTTAGAGCAACTGTACGCTTCTAGTTAAACAAATCATTATTTCCAACCCCCTAGTTTGCTGTGAACAATGTTTGTATTCTTGTATTGTTTGTTTAAAGATATTGTTTGTTTGTTTAGTTCTACTGGAGGGACAAACAATAAGAGACTCAGTAGATCACAGGAGATTTTAGAAACAAGGTACAGGGTGTCCCACTAATAATGATAGTTTAGATACAAGGTACAGGGTGTCCCACTAATAATGATAATTTAGATACAAGGTACAGGGTGTCCCACTAATATTGATAGTTTAGATACAAGGTACAGAGTGTCCCACTAATACTGATAGTTTAGATACAAGGTACAGAGTGTCCCACTAATTATGATAGTTTAGATACAAGGTACAGGGTGTCCCACTAATAATGATAGTTTAGATACAAGGTACAGAGTGTCCCACTAATAATGATAGTTTAGATACAAGGTAATGATAGTTTAGATACAAGGTACAGGGTGTCCCACTAATATTGATAGTTTAGATACAAGGTACAGAGTGTCCCACTAATAATGATAGTTTAGATACAAGGTACAGAGTGTCCCACTAATAATCATAGTTTAGATACAAGGTGCAGAGTGTCCCACTAATAATCAAAGTTTAGATACAAGGTACAGGGTGTCCCACTAATCATGATAGTTTAGATTTAAGGTACAGAGTGTCCCACTAAAAATGATAGTTTAGATACAATGTACAGAGTGTCCCACTAATATTGATAGTTTAGATACAAGGTACAGGGTGTCCCACTAATAATGATAGTTTAGATACAAGGTACAGGGTGTCCCACTAATAATGATAGTTTAGATTTAAGGTACAGAGTGTCCCACTAAAAATGATAGTTTAGATACAATGTACAGAGTGTCCCACTAATAATGATAGTTTAGATACAAGGTACAGAGTGTCCCACTAATAATGATAGTTTTGAAACTAGGTATAGGGTGTCCCACTAATACTGATAGTTTAGAAGCAAGGTACAGAGTGTCCCACTAATAATGATAGTTTAGATACAATGTACAGAGTGTCCCACTAATAATGATAGTTTTAAAACAAGGTACAGAGTGTCCCACTAATAATGATAGTTTAGATACAAGGTACAGAGTGTTCCACTAATAATGATAGTTTTGAAACTAGGTATAGGGTGTCCCACTAATACTGATAATTTAGAAACAAGGTACTGAGTGTCCCACTAATAATGGTAGTTTAGAGATAAAAGAACTTGAATTTCGTCTTTAATATCTTAATGACATTTATTCGTTCAGATTTCGATAATTTTAGTTTTCTTTGCTATATTGTAATTTCTATGATCAAAGATGAAGTTTAAACGATCATGTTTCGTGGGACAGCCTGTAAAAATGGGATTCTTAACTGAATTCATAGAGATATCTTTAAGTTTAGAGAAAATGTGGTTTTTTAATCAGTAAAGGAATTGAGTCTTTGCCACAAACTCTGATTTTCCAATCCCTGTATCTTTGGAACCCAATGTCTTAGACCTTATTTATTTCAAACTAAGTATACTGTTAGATCAAATAATCTAAGTTTGAAATATCAAAGGTTTACATCATCAGGTTCCAAAGATATAGGGATTTAAAAATTTAAGTTTGTGACAAAAACTCAATTCCTTTATAATTTTACTTTAAACATCTTTTATTATGGAAGCATTTCAGATTTTACAATAAAAAAAGCAAGAAAAAATTGTGTTTTGGAACAATCAATTTTTTCAAACTCTGCTCGAGATTTTTAAATTTGATTAAAAGGTTACTGTTTTCTGTTAACTGTAACTTTTAATATATAAAAACATGGCAGTTGAATGTATTTACAAAATTATTATGTTAAAAGTATTAAGTTTAACAATTGCTTTGACAAAAAGATTTATATAAAAGCTATTCTCTCATTTCACAGTTATTCTCTCGATACATTTTGATAAAATGCCATTTAAACTGCAAATTGCTTTTTTTACATTGATAAATATTTGCAATTATGTATTTGCTCTTTCAGATTTGAGCCCAGCAAATCCAACTTACCTAAGCAACAAAGGTGAAAAATACACTCCTGTAACATAAGTACATGATTAATCAATATATATCAGAACGATTGACATCTGCATTCTTCTTTAATTATTGTGTAACGTCCATTACAAATTTCAGAAACTAAAAAGTGAAAAATTTCAAAATTAAAGCGGTTATTTTCATCACAAACAGTAAAGAAAGATAACAATTATTAATTTTTTATTAGTAATGACTGTGAAACAATTTACAAACAAAATTTAAAGATTTTCTTTCTAAAGTAATTTTAGCGCAAGTGCTCCTATTTAACAATTCACATTTATCCAACGCACTATAAGAAGTAAGCTGTCAGAACTTTACACTTTACCAGACACAAAAACGATTTTAAGGGTATCTTTCTTTGGGCCATACCGAACTATAAATTGAGACTTGCTTGGAATTAAGTCTACAATCATTTCCAGGATGAGACCAGAGCTAAGATCTAAGTCTGCCACAGGTTTAAATCTACTCGCTAGAGGTCTCAAGCCGAGAAATCAAAACAGGTTTAAAAACTTTTTTTTTCATTTACAGAAATTTTTTTTGATTAGTTAATTCTACTTACAGCAAACTCTGCCACTTTTAAAAACAGTTTTTGCTCTTAACCTTTATTTGTAATAACAAATGAACAAGTTTTAATTAAATCTTGAGTCTATCACTTTAATCTGAGATCGGAAATTTTGTGTAAAGTATTGTTCATCTTTAAAGCTTGATTTCGATATCATATATTGGCACTTTTAATCCCTAAATCAAAGCCTTTTCTTCTGAGTTTGCCCAACATATCTATATCAAAGAGGATTTAGATTATTCCGTTAGATCTTCATAAGATCAATGTTTAAGCCCGAGATTCACAAAACCAAAATTTTTGACTCATTTTCTTATGATATTAAATTGACAACGAGCTCTTGAGAATATTTAGCATAAAATTAAATTAAATCTTTGTCCATAAATATTATTTAAAGGTTAGGTGGATTTATCTAAAATTTTAGATTTGCATCTTTTTTTTAACCAAGCTTAGAGCATTCTCTTGCAGTTTCGAACGATTTACCTTAAAATAATTTGAGGCAAATCGGTCAAGGATATTATGAGTTTTTATCGGACTTTCAAAGAGGTAATCAGAGATTATTACGTTATATGTATAGGGCTGTGCAAAGTTCCGTTAACGAAATGGCGGTTTTCGAAAATTAACAGAAGGGTCCGTTAAAGAATAAACAATGTTTTTAAATGTTGTCTTCACAACCATTTACGATTTCATGAACATTTTATGATTTTTTTTGGACGCTTCATGATATTATCGCCGTTAATACTGTAATAGACTGATAACGGCTGCGCCGTTAACTATTTCACGAACCGTTAACAAAATGTTTTTGCTACTTCGCGCCGTTACCGCCCTTAATTCTGTAATAACGGTACTTTTAACGTCTAAAGCCGTTCACGGTCGTTGAAATTTTTCGGTTAATGCTGTTGATAAAATTGAAATCGTTATCTAACGGTAACTTAAAAAACGGAAAATACGAAGTTTCGGTCTTACCCTCTAAACCTAACGGCTACCTGAGATTTTTATCTTTAAAAACGGTGGGAACAAACCGTTAACGAAACTACTTGAAAAAGTTGGAACGTGCCTAGTCCTAATATAAAGAAACTTCATTTATTAAAACTATTTTGTTTTTATAAAATTTGTTTATAAAAAAGTTTATTTTTCATTTAGCATTTACAACTCTGAATTTATATTGTTCAATTAAACCATTGTAAAACAAGACTATATTCTAATTTGATATTCTAACATGTAGCTACAGTACAGTAAATAAAACTTCTACAGGGTAACCACCAAAGACGACGTGGGACTCATTAAAGATAACAATCCCAAGGTTTAATTAAGTCTTCTGCCTTGAATTAAGTCTTTAAATGGTTTATATTTGATATGATTTGGCATTGAGAGAAACAGGTTTAAAGTTGCAGGAAAATATAAACATAAGAAAACAGACAGACAAGGGATTGTAAGCATAAAATAAAATTATTCCTGCAAAGATGACAGTTCCTAATTCACAATGGTACCCTTGAAACCTTTATCTAATCAATAATATGAAAAATACTGTCGTTTTTCCAGGTTTTAGAGAGTTTAATTCTGATAATTTCAATATCTTTTCCTGTAGTAAGGTAGTGCACAAGCACTTTTATAGAGAAGTATGACAGGGTGGGGCTAATGTATTTAATAAGGTGTAGTATTAAATACTAATTTTGTTTCAATTGTTCTAGAGCCAGCAAAGGACCTGGTTTTGGACAAAGAGAACTAAGAAGATAGCTGCTATGCTGACTAAAAAATCCGCAAACTCAGTGCAAAATTACCGCAAATGTACCGTTGGATTTGAAGCAATGTTTGCCAAAATGTTGGAATTTTGAAGTTTGTACTTTTCTTACAATTACATTTTTTAATAGTCAGTTAGCAAAATACAATTGTCTAGCAAAGATTTAATAAATTCATTAGTTTTTTAAGATAATAAATGTATGAATAATTTTATTTTAATTATTAAAATCTTGCAAACAACGTCAAATTAATGTAAAATTCACATTACATTGTATCTTGAATTACTTTTGTGCGTAGAATTTAAATATATTTTTAAAAATCTAGAGGCCGAATTTAAAGAATTTAAATTTAAACCACGGCTCAAATATGGTTGGTTCCACTTAAAATTATATAGAATTTTTCAAGATTTAAGCCGGCGCTCAATTGAAACCGGTTTTTGTGGGATTTGAGACGCGGCTTAAATTAATTTAATTCGTATATAGGCTAATTGAATTTATGTATAAATGAAAACCCATATATCACAGTAATTTATTTGCATATCCGCTAATCCATTAATATTTTCAATCTGATGATGTAAACCTTTTTAATTTTGAGCATTCTAAAATATGAAAAATCAAAGGTTTTTTTAAAAAAAGTTGCAAAGATATACAAATTAGAAATAAAGAGTTTGAGTCGTGAAATCAGTTTCGTTTAGAACAACTGAAATTTCCTGTAAAGTGTTGGGTCTAAAGTAGGTGTAATATAAATAATAAGTATTTCCTCCCCTAATTGTAGAGTGAGTGACATTATTAGCTTAATCTGAAGGTTTAATACCACAATAATAATACCAGGGCAAAATAGGAATAATAAATGATTTAGAATCCAGATTTAGTTAATCATTCATGCAACGGGAAAAGAGCAATTATGACCAAAATAATATGAAAATTCACATTTTCCTAGAATGAAAGTAAATTACAACTTTGTGACCTCATAGATCCTCATTTTACGCACAATTATTTTGTTACATAATAGAAATACAAAACAGTTGTGTTCTTCACATTAGCTCTTTAATTAGAGGGTAAAAAAAACATGTAGGAAAACGTGAAATTTGTAATTCGGATTTTTACAATAATATGTTTTTAATTTGCCTGCTTTGATCTTGTGAAAAAACGTTTCTGGCTTTAATTTTCCTCAAAATTGTTCAGAATGAATTAGCAAAACTTATCAACATTATCATTTTTTAGTGATATTGGCTTTGTTCTAAATTGATCTAAGTCTACATACAGGGCATGGATGCAAAAAATGTCTTTTTGACTTTTTTGCCTCCATCAAAAATCAGAACCCCAAAGACTTAAAAGGGTTGTTGTAAAAAAGTTTTTGAACTATGTGTAATTGTTTAAACGTAGTTTTATCTGTATTATTCATATTTATTTATATGAATAATGCAGGAGGGAAGAGCATTGCCTATATTTTATCTTATATTGATAATATTTTATATTTTTACCCTAGAATACACACCATTGAGCTTAGGAAAGGTTTAACCATAAATACTCAAAATAATAGGGCTGTATGCAGTAGAATAAATATTGTTACATTTTCTCTTTTGTTGGAAGTTGAAGAGAATTTTAAGTGAACATTTCTTAAAGGAGGAACATGCAGGATAGCCAATGTTGGTACCCTTTAAACATATTAAATAAGATATCGTCGTTTGTCTGGCAAGGTGTTTGAACTATTAATGTACGGTTAATTTAAAAAGTGCGGGATATTTTTTTTGCATGGTATCTAATGGTTTATATTCAAGGGATATTTTACGTGGGTGAGACATGTTTTACGTCTAAATTGTCCCGAAAAATGAATAAAAAACATCTGTCACATGTTATGTTTGGTCACAAACGGAAATTTTCAAATTTGTTCGACTTTTTTGACATTTTTTTATGTTCTGGCCTTGACAAATTGGCAATATAAACATTATTTCGCTCTACAATCTTTTTTTTGGAAGGGGGGGGGAATGGATCACCCCACCCCCAGTCTATGCATAATTCACATACGTAGATAAGGTTTTTAAATAAAAAACACTCTTTGTATTCTTATTGGATTCTTATTTTATCTATCTATCAATGTATTCATAGTGATTAGATCAATAACATTTATACATATCATAAATATTTCAATATCTAATAATAAATACAATATTATTTAAAAATTGATGTTTTCATATCCTTAGCAGAAGTATGTTCACTATTTGGTAAGTATATATCATGATGAATGGCATACATACGCAAACCTAACTCAGAATACATACCATAGAATCAATCATACTTTCATATTATTTACAAATATATAACAAAATATGTATCTATATGTATACATTCATATAATCACCTCAGATATTGGGTAAACATATTTCTATATATTTTTGTAAAGATTGAATATTGGGTTTGGTTGTTTTTTCAATATATGCCATAAAATTTAGATATTTTATGCATTTATTTCATCTACAAATATATACCATACACATGGTTACCCTCAAAGAATATACCATACACATGGTTACCCTCAAAGAATGTACCATACACATGGTTACCCTCAAAGAATATACCATACACATGGTTACCCTCAAAGGATATTACCATACACATGGTTACCCTCAAAGAATATACCATACACATGGCTACCCTCAAAGAATATACCATACACATGGTTACCCTCAAAGAATATACCATACACATAGCTACCCTCAAAGGATGAGACTTCAGAGAAGACTGTACAAAATGTATAATGTCTATTTCCTTATATTTATGACTCTGTGCAACTGTTAACTGGTTTCTTGTGTTGCCATTACTTCAGGAAACGTTAATTTAAGGGAAACCTTAGTAACGACAAACAATCAAGAAAACTATAAACAAAGTGATTTTAAATAAGTTCGTGAAGAAGAAAAACAGACTCCGTGAATGCTTTAAATACACTACCTGGGAAAAGAAACATAAAATTAGTATGTTTAGCAAACTTAGAATATGTTGTTTGTCAACCAATGCCCATCTCTATTTTCAACTTTTCATTTGTCTGTGAAGCTGGCAAAGAGAATTATTTATACACTCAATTAGGCAGAGATACTTCAGCCTTCTGCCAACTTTAAACAACGTGGTTCATACCGTTAACCCAATTTAAAAAGAAACAGGCTCTATATGTCTGATTCACAACAGTATCCTTTAAATATTTAATAACAAAGGAATTGAGTTTTTGCTACAAATTCAGTTTTTCTAATCCATTCATCTTTTCAACCCGATGTTGTAAAGTTGTTTTATTCCAAGCTTATATTATTGGATCTTACAGATTTTATAGTTTGAAATATCAAACGTTAATAACATTGGGTTGCAAAAAGATAAGGATTAGAAAATTAGTATTAGGCAAATTCCTTTATTTTGATACAAAGGAATTGAGTCTTTGCCTCAAACTCAAATTTTTCAATTTATGTCGTTGCCAACTGAAGGACTCAAATTTTCTAATCTTTGCCAACTGGAGGTGTAGACCTTTGATATTTCAAATTTTGATTATTTGATCAAACAGAATTAATAGTTTGAAATTTCTCAAGTCTAAGAAATTGGGTTGCAAAGCTATATGGATTAAGAAATCAGAGTTTGTGGCAAAGACTCAATTCCATTAGTGCTTCTATATATATTTAGTATTGCTAGTTGCTGAGACAATTAACACTCCGTTTACGTTTGTTCAATTCTAATTGATTTTTTTTTTACCCAAATAGGAACAAGTCATAAACATGTATTTAAAAACATCTTGGCTTTTTCTACACTGCAACCAACTGAATTAAATTGTGTCCAAACCGGACTTTATACCTCGGGATTTTCTCTTCATGCTCCAAAATATTCTAAATAAATCTTATTTCTATTGGGAAGTGGAGAGAAACTTTTTGCACAGCTATAGATAAATTACTAAAAGTTAGGACTTTTAACATCCTTTTCATATTGAACTATCACTCTTCGTTTAAATACAATATAAATATATTTTGTATTTTTTCGCAAAAATGAATTAAGCGGGAAAATCAAAGAGAATAGAATATATATTAGAGGGGAATTTACTATAAAAAAGTGTAAAACGGCCATTTTGTTGTACTGTTTCCATACTGCAGGTGTACTTCACATATTTGTGCTATATAACCTTTTTGGCCCTGGAATATCATTTTATAGAAAATCTAAAATTAATATTAAAAGAAAACCAAATTATGAAATAGGCTGGTTTCATAATTGACCAATAATCATTTCACATAGACTGTATGCCATTCACTTTACAAACGACGATTTTCCGTTATAACTATAAATCAAATGATGTTTTTTATTCATCTAATTCATTATAAAGTTTATTTAAAAGCTTTAAAAAATTCGAAATTGAAATGTATAGTCTAGGGAACATACTGTATTAATGTACTCTACTATAGAGGTCGGAGGACGGACTCTAATGAAACTCAGGTAGGCTTATTCCAGTATATATATTTCTTTATAAGACAAACTTTTTTATATCAAAATCTATTTGATCACACGAGACTAATGAGAATACCGCGTTCTTCATCTGTTGTGGAACTCTGTTTTGGAGGTCGAAACATCGTCTTCCACACTACCCCCCCCCCCCCCCCCCCCCCCCCCCCAGCGTTGAGGCCGGAGGTCAAGCGTAGAGAATTTTAGAAGATTTCACCAAATTATAACTGGAGACAGGTTAAAAATGACTGATTTCCTACTTTTTGGCGGAGAAATGGCAGAGGCGGAGTTAACAGGCTTCTGAGGTCGTCCACGAGGTCGAGGAGGAGCTGGAGGAGCTTGTGCAATTGGACGAGGGGGACAACCAGGTCAAGGAGGTAACTCAGGAGTATCTTCATCAGTTGTGACTGCAGGTTTAAGTCGTTGAATCAAAACCATCTCTGTTCTATTACCAACCTGGAGACGGACGGTTCTCCGGGAACGAGATAGTACTTTATAAGGTCCAGCATAGAGAGGAGCTAAAGGAGGAATGTGACCATCCTTTCTTACAAAAACCATCGGACAGGATCAGAGTAGGGCTGGTACATGTTCCTGAAGGTCTGAAACCGGCGGAATATTGTGACAAGCTGGAACAGGACGGAATCCAGACATGGAATTTCTGAGATCATCATAGAACTGTTTTGATGGAGGATCTTGAACTGATAGAAACTGATGTGGTAAAATTAACTCAGATCCATAGACCGCCTC